ACACTTGGATCGATATTACCCGCTCAACTTTTCGCTCAGATGGAATCCACCATTACGGGAGCAAGTTGACTGTCCAAGCAGAATATCCTAGACCAATTCAATCTAGAATCCACCAGAATGATTACCAGGCTGACTTAATTATTAAGTTGGTTATCTAGAATCCACCAGAATGACTACTAGGCTGACTTAATTATTAAGTTGGTTTAGCCCAATGCGAGAGAGCAAGTTGACTGCCCAAGCAGGATTACCTAAGCAATCATCTTCACCAGAATGACTACTAGGCTGACTTAATTATTAAGTTGTTTTGGCAGATTTAGTTAATTTAGTTGACGCCAGAATGATTACCAGGCTGACTTAATTATTAAGTTGGTTTGGCAGATTTGCAGCAAGCTGACTGCCCAAGCAGGATTTCCTAAGCAATCATCTAGAATCCACAGAATGACTACTAGGCTGACTTAATTTTTAAGTTGGTTTGGCAGATTTGCTTAAGTTGGTTGACCCAATTGTGAAAAATTCGTGGCCTCAGTGGGAGTCGAACCCACACAGCAGGGAAGACTTTTGCGTAGCCAACGCTCTACCAAGTGAGCTACGAGACTCAACGTACGCCGTGAGTTTAACCACATTTGGGTCGATTTTACCCACCCAGCTTACTGCACATTTGGAATCTACCAATAAGAATACGGTAAGCTGACTGCCCGGGCAGGATTTCCTAAGCAATCATCTAGAATCCACCCGAATAACTACAAGGCTCACATAATTGTTAGGGGTTTTTGGCGAATTTGCTTAATTTAGTTGATTTTATTGTGAAAAAACTCGCGGCCTCGGTGAGGGTCGAATCCACTCAGTAGGAAAGGCTTTTGCGCAGCCAATGCTCCACCACTGAGCTAAGAAGCTCACTATGAGCCACGCAGAAAACCAATGATGCGGCACAAGAGGTACTTGTCTTTATTCATGGATGAAAACTGGCGCTCTTCTACATGCCAGCAAAGCAATTTACAAAGTTATTTTAGAAAAAGGTAGGCAGAATTAAACTCACACAAACAGCACAATATTTCCTGCAGTTTAATGCAGTTTCCAAAAAGAGAACTTCCTTGATTTCACTTGCCTTGCGGGAGCCGAGTCAACCGGTTGTCTTTTTCTTGGGAACTGGGGAGTTAGGGGATTCGGGGTCGCTTAATTACCTATTCCTCCTTCGCCAATCTAGGTGGGTAAAAAATCTCGTTTCATAAAAGGAAACCATTTTTTAAACGAAGCACATCTGAGAACGTGCTCTTTAGGTGCACCTCCGGATGCGCAGGTAAGCCGATGCGTCTCGCTTGACAACTATGCACTCTCAGGAAATCTGACCCGGTTTTGGCCTCGCTCCGCTACAGGTTACACCGATCCATCTCTGTGCACTGAAGATACACAGCCCTGACCAGGTCTCTGGTCATGTCTTCGCACGAATTCTCCTGCATTATATGCGCAAATTCCGATGCAGATTTGGCAAACAATCACATGACCGAGATTTTTGGTGGTGGTGGTGGTGGTGATGGTGGTGTCGGCGAGGGTGACAGGCCTTGGCGCAAAATACCAAACATCAGGCTTCTAACATGGCCAAGTGGGAAGCACGGGGCCTGATTCATAGGTAGCCGTGGAATCACATTGCAGAAAGTTGGAATAGAATTCAATAGGCAGATTTGAACAAATCGGTTGACCAAATTGAGAAAAATTCGTGGTTTGTCTCGGTGGGATTCTAACGCACACAACAGGGAAGACTTTTTTGTACAGTGAACGCTCTACAATCGAGCTAGGAAGGCACTCAGAAAGCCATGAATTTAATCGCGCCTGGGTCGATTTTACCCGCCAAACCTACTGCTCGTATGGGATTCACCATTAGGGAAGAGCAAGCTGACTGCCCAAGTGGATTAACTGAATTATTCAAATCGGCAATTGTAGTTTATGTAGTGTACTTCATATACCCGTAGCCCATCATTTTATCCTACAGAAACGGGGATAATAGGGTTTTTGGACTGGGGAAATAGGATATGCAGGGGAAGGCAATTTTTAGAAGTGTTAAATGAACAAATTGTAGTCGAATTTGTCTACGGCGGCCGCTAGGAGTAAATTGTTACGCATGTAAATTGAATGTATGCACGGCGCTTCGCGCCGCGGACTATACTAACCTAATTCTAGAACGGTAAGTTGGACATCAGGTAAGTTGAAGTAGACTACCTCCTAATCACCATTTGTATTTTTTAAGAATTTCAAGAAACCGGCAATTTGATAATGTAGCTTTCCTGCAATAACCTAAATGATAATACAGATCAGGAAAACCTAGAGCTATAAATCAACAACATTTCTAAATACCATAAAATGAAAATGCATATAGCAGTTATTAAAGTATATTCCATTGCGTATCCTAATTCCGCACCCATTAAACCCTTTACTCACCGTTTCTGTAGGGCAAAATTCTGAGAGTAGGAGTGTATGAAGTGTACTACATAAAGTACAGTTGCCTTTAAATCTGCCAAAACCCTCCTAATAAGTAATAGCATCGAAAGAAAGTGGCTATGTACGTTGCGGTCGATATTGAACATTCTAGCGTTAACGAAGGGCGAAAAAGTATCTACAAAATATACTAGCAGTGTAAAACGTCGCACATGCAAGCCAACACGTCTTGCTCGACAATCATGCACTCTCAGGAAATCAGACCTGGTCTCTCCCTTGCTCCGCTACAGGTTACAATGACCCATCCTCACGCACTCAAGAAGCACAGCCCTGACCAGGTTTCTGGTCGTGTCTTCACACGAATCCTCCGCGTTGATTATATGCGCGAATTCCGATGCAGATTTGGCAAACAATCACACGCCCGAGGTTTGTGGTGGTGGTAGTGGCAACGCCAGCGAGGATGACAGATTTTTGCGCAAAATACCGCCCATCAGTCTTCGACCAATCGGGTCAATTGGGAGCAGGTTTTCCGATCCGTTGGCGGCAATGGAACCACACTGCGGAAAAAATAATAGAATTTAATTGACCAAATTGTGAAAAAACTCGCAGTCTCGGTGGGAGTCAAACCCAGACACAGCAGGAAAGGCTTTTGTGCAGCTAACGCTCTACGACTGAGCTACAAGGCTCACCGTGAGCTGTTAATTTAATCACATTTGGGTCGATTTTACCCGCCCAACCTACTGCTCGTTGGAATTCCACCACTACGGATACAGTAAGCAGACCGCCGAAGTGGGTCAACCAAACAATTAAAATCAGCCAAATCTCTCCTAATAATTAAGTGAGCCTAGCATGATTGCTTAGGAAATCCTGCCTGGGCAGTCAGCTTACTGTATCCGTAATGGTGGATTTCATACGAGCAGTAAGTTGGGCGGGTGCATCGACCCAGGTGTGATTAAATTCACGGCTCACGGTGAGCCTCGTTGCTCAATGATAGAGCGTTGTCTGCGGAAGAGCCTTCCCCTCTGTGTGAGTTTGACTCCCACCGAGGCCAAGAGTTTTTCCCAATTTGGTCAACTGAATTATTCAAATCTACCAAAACCCTCCTAGTAAGTAATATGATTGAATGACAGAGGTCATGTTCGTTGCGGTCGATATATAGCATTCTCAGAAGAAGAAGATGCGACCACTCAAGAAACACAGCCCTGACCAGGTCTCTAGTCATGTCTTAACACGAATTCTCCTGCATTATACGCGCAGATTCCAATGCAGATTTGGCAAACAATCACACGACGGAGATTTGTGGTGATGGTGGAGGCGGTGAATGTGACGGATTTTTGCGCAAAATACCGCCCATCAGTCTTCGATCAATCGGGCCAATTGGGGAGGACGTTGTCTTACCCGTAGGCGGCAGTGGAACCACATTGCAGCAAGTTGTAATAGGATTGAAAGACATGGAAGTCATGTATAGGGTGTTCCAAAATTACTTGCACTTATTTTAAGTTCGACAATTTCTTTAAGATTATATATTTAGCATTAATTCTTATTTAAATAAGATGTTCTTTGAGATAAAATAACTTTAATGAGTGAATTTTCGAGTTTGGCGCCCCTACTCGTCTTCGGAATAGCAAGAAAAGTGCAATGAACAACTAAAATTTCAAAACTGCCGAAAAATAAATAGTTATACAAAGTGAGACATGACTGGTAGGTTTTGACTCAGATAGTCTCTGTCCTGTGTCCTCTGTCTTTTCCATTGTTCTCTGATGTGTTTATAATTAACATCCAACTCGACGTGCCGGTTAATGCATGAATTGTCGGAGTGCATGGCCTAAAGGAATTCTCGGCCTTTTCTGGAGGTGCAAACTCCGACGATGCGTGTTTTATCCCATGAAAAGTTGTGCCCTGTGTCGAGGCAATGCATGGCCACTTCGGAAAAACGGTCATGTCTATTCACGGCCGATTGGTGCTCGTGGATGCGTGTGGAGACAGATCTTTCTGTTTGGCCCCAATATACAGTATCACAATCTCTGCATGGGATTTTGTAGATGGCTTCCTTTTTACTGAGGTAGCTGACCCTATCTTTAGGGTGTACTAGCTGGGTGCGTAAAGTAGCTCCGCTATTTGCATGAACATTTTGGGTATTACCTTCTATCATAGTTGGAAAATCCACAGACTAAGAGAAAATCAAATCGAAGACAGGATGACCTTCTGTAAGGTGGTCAAGGGGATGGACTGTAAACGACCGGAAACAAGTCGTCTTCTCCGATGAATCGTCGTATGAACTGTTCCCTTCGCCAAACACAAAAATGACGCTTTTGGACTCCAATACGTAACTTGTTTGAGAATGTTGAAGTTCGAAATTTTTAGACCTACAGCCATAGTGTGGGCAGCAATGTCTTTTGGAGGGCTCGCTGACCACCATATTTTATCATAGGCTCAATGAGTGAATCGGGAATATTATAAAGAGAAGACCCTTAAGCAACACCTGCTTAAAAGATTGGAAAAGAATCTTGTGAGCAGGTTAATATTTGGAAGTAAACTTGTTCCAGACATATTAAGCATAAATTAGTAATGCGATTGACGCGAGACTGTCCACTCCTACTATTGTTGCTGGATTGGAGAGATCCGCGCTAGACGCCTGAAGAAATAGCCCCACTGGAGACCTTCCAAAATCTAATTCATTCGATGCCAAGAAGGGTATAAGCCATCCTAAAGGTCAAAGGAAAATAGTGAAATATATATTACTTTAGAAACTGTGATTGTGTTATTAGGGTGCAAAGCATTTCAGGACACCTCATAGGTAAACTATGACCGAATCCTGAACTCGTGGTTGCCCGCCTTTCATCCCCGAGAGGCAGTGTGGGCAAAGAATTGCGAGCTGATCCAACGCTTTTCGGCAGCAATGCATTTTGGAAGTAACCGTCAGGCTTTCCGTGCGCAATTACTTCCCTGACCAGAAAAATCTGCAAACGAGGGCTCCCTCCGTCTCCTATCGTAACACAGAAAAGTCGATCCTAATCACATTTCATAGGATAACGACCTCAGACATCGCTAGGGTAGTGACTGCTAGAATTGTGAAAGGACAGGCGATGGTTACAGGACGTTTATGGTTGTTTGAACGAGAATAAGAATTCACATTCTTGTTGATTGAGCCTTATCACACGTTTGACATTCCCCCAGATCGGCGAAGCCTATATACCCATCATATTCCCGATCTAAACCAAGAAAGCAACGAGCCCGTGGTGCCGAGGTAGAGTATTAAACTCAATGAACAAAGGTCCCGTTTTCGAATCTCGAGGGTTCAAACCCCTGAGATTGGGTATGACGGGCTGATGACGACTAACAAAACAGAAATGTCCATTCCGGTCTCCCTTTGCTTTGTTGGGTCCTTTTCGGCAATAACTTTATTTAACTTTTCGTACGGGGAATCAGGTTAGCAGTTTTTAGTCCAGGCGAGATTACCTGTTTATCAAAAGCTTTAGCACTTTTTAGGAATTGCTTTGTCGCAAAAGAAGAAATAGATCTAACGGCAAAGTGTTGTTCTACGCTACCATAAAAGAGCCAGAAATAACAGATGAAACATATCGGAGCTTGAGTATCTTGAACGAAGTACTTCGACATGACACAGTTCTTCAAAACAACCCTTCGACCTCTCCCCATCCATACATATGTTATCGGACTCAACGGCGAAACTGTAGGAATTGGGTATCTGTCTGCCTTTTTTGTCCGCTGTTTTGTACAGAAGGACAATCCCTAGACCAGGGGTCTGCAACCTTTTGACTCAGAGAGCCAAGAAAGCAAATATTTGGAAATATATTTCACTGAGAGCCACGTAATATATTTTAATATTATATTCAATTAAATGTGGGTATAATAAGCCTCTGGATTTATTCTTTTCAATAATGTTCTTATAATATTCATTATTAATGACGCTTCTGGTGCTGCATGCATTCGCTGAGGGCTTTGGAGTCTGTTTGGTAGTTGGTGAGGTTAAGCGTTATGCAATCGTTGAGGCTTTCATCCGTTAGAAGTGATCGTAGGGTGGATTTGATGCATTTAAGATGTGAGAATGACTGCTCCCATGCATACGTAGATCCATACGGCTTATTCGTCCTGGATGGTACGATACTCTTCATCTCATTTTCTTTTCGCCATCTTCTTTGTTGCAGGGTTTAACTTTGGGCGGTCAAGGATGTGCGATCTATTATAACCACTATACTAAGAGTATTCCGCCTGATGAAAGAAAGCAGTCAGATGTTAGGAGCGATTTATTAGTAAACAAGGCAAGTTTCCGCCAACAGACTATGTGATAAATGCGTCCGTCTGGGGGACATAAAGACAAGGGACTAGAG